CGGGAAGAACTTCTTCCTGATATCCAATCTAACCCTCCCCACTTTCAATTTAATCCCATTACCCCTTGTCCTGTCACTCCCTGCCCTTGTAAAAAGTCCCCCCCAGCTTCCTTGTAGCCCCTTCAGGCACTGGAAGGTGCTATAAGGTCTCCCCAGAGCCTTCCCTTCTCCAGGCTGAACACCCCAACTCTCCCAGCCTGTCCCCATGGCAGAGGGGCTCCAGCCCTCGGAGCATCCCCGTGGGAGCAGGCCAGGTCTGCTTTCTCACGGAATGGACTCCAATATACCTCCATGGGGCTGCCCTGCAGCGCTCCCCAACTCCACACCCCACACCCTCCCCAAAGAATCGATCACTCCTCCAGAGGGAGTGAAAGTCTACCAGCATACGGATGACATCCTGACTGGGGAGTGGGGGGGAAGTTAACGGAGCACTTACGATGCCATAACTTTTCACCTGGAAGGAATAGGGATACAGATTCCGCCAAAGCCGAGGACTGAGTAATGAAGTAAAGTTTGTAGGGAAGTGCTGGAGAAGTGTGTTGTATTCCTCCTCAAACTCCAGAGTCTTTAGACCAAATTAAAGCACCTAATAATAAAAGGGAGTTGCAACACGCATTGGGTCTCCTAGCACTGGGGAGGAAACACCCACCCCAATTTTCCCTAGCTGCACGGCCGTTGTAGGATCAGCTTCCAAACCGGAAACTGTGGGTGCCGCAGGGACCTCAGCACGCAGTGGGCATCATCAACCCAGCCCTGGGGAGAGGATCAGACACCGCAGCGCCTGTCATCTCTCCCAGCGCTGCACACAGGGCCCTCGGGGAGGAGAATCTTGGCCGTGGGCAGCAGGACCTCCAGCCTCGGTAACGGGGGATGCCAGCCCCAGCCAGGAGAGCTGGGAGTTGTGTGCAGCAGGTGAAGGAATCATCTGCCACCCAAAGCAAACAGGTAACGTAGGAAGTAGGGCACGTCCACGGGCTGGGTGACAAGCACACGGCTCCCGACGCTGCGCTCGAGGCAACACCCGTCACCGTCCCTGTAAATCCGATGGGCTGACGCAGGGCTGGCGTAGTGACAGCAGCACGAAGGGCAAGGGGCCAGGCGTTGGGGGTCAGAAGATTGGTTAGAAGCTACCTGTGCAATGGTAAGGGAAAGGCAGCGGTGGTGCCCCAAAGCTTTAGGGACTCCAGGTCCCCCTGGGCGTGATTTTTGGAACTGGACTGGGCCATTGGTCCAATGGGGGACGGATGAGTGGCCCCCCTAGACCGGATTATCACAGAATCATGGAATGGTTTGGGTTGGAAGGGACCTTAAAGATTATCTAGTTCCAACCCCCCTGCCATGGGCAGGGACACCTTCCACTAGACCAGGTTGCTCCAAGCCTCATCCAGCCTGGCCTTGGACACTTCCAGGGATGGGGCATCCACAACATTTATTATAGAATATCGTGGTCCAGCTACCTTGAACCCTCATGAAATTACACGTGGAGCAAGAGATCCACCTTACAACCTTAACGGCATCATTAGACTACCAGCAGTACAGGAAATAATTAGCAATCAAGCAGCTGATCTCTCAGCAGAGCAGACCACACAAATCAGAGGCCATCTTGCAGCACCGCCTCGTTCTGGATCCAGAAGCAAACCTAAAGTAGGGCAACCCCCCTTTTTCATCCGTGTCGGAGAGCTCCACATGTCCCAGCTGTAACACAGAAACGCGGTCACCTCTGCAGCTCCGCCCTGGGCGAATCATGAAGCGGGACGGTGCAGAGCAAACCTTTAACCTGCACACAGATCCAGTGCAGAAGCCTTCCTTCAGGCCTATGGAGCTGGAAGCCTGACCCTGCAGTAGGCCAGCCTGTAAAACTGGCTCCGGAGGCTTTTGCTGCAGGGAGAGAATGGCAGTTTGAGGGTGGATCTGCTGTCAGGGAAAAGGTTGCTCAGCTGCAACAGCTTGCCCACAGCGTGTCCTCTGGGCAGCGCTTCATACTGCTACTTCCACAGGCAGGGCATCAGCAAGCTCCAGGCGTAACTGAAACCCAGGGTCTGCTTATGGAACATCCAGGTTATTTCCCTGTCACATGCTGGGGGGATTTCCTAAAACCGTGACCGCTACTGAAGGTAAACAGATGAAATTCCTGCGCAGTCTCTTGCTTATGGAACATCCAGGTTATTTCCCTGTCACATGCTGGGGTGATTTCCTAAAACCGTGACCGCTACTGAAGGTAAACAGGAGATGAAATTCCTGTGCAGTCTCTGTAAGATACACACCACTGTTCCCTGGCAGGAACGATGGTCCACACAGTCCCCCTAGGCCGAGAAATCCCCTGGCCACGGAAGAAGCGGCAGTCTTGTCCCGTGCGGAGTGCCCAAGAGCCCTCTCAAAACTCAGGGGCAGGTCACCCCCAAACACCGTCCAGCAGGCTGTTCCCGAGACCAGGCAGCAGCAGGGCACGCGACACGGAAGCCCCGGCTCCATCCAGCCTGCAGCGTGCGGAATCGCCACTCGCTGCAGGCAGCCTCCCCCGACGGAACGCATCCAACGCGGCCCTCCCTCGCTACCGCCCAGGGGAGGTCAGACCTGTCAGTTCTGCTTCTTTATCCCTTCCTCCTCTTCCCGCAGCCAGGCTGTCGGAGGTCCCTTGAAGGTCAGCGTTGTTTTCCGTACCACGCTGTAAAGAAACGGTTACACCTTTGTTCCGGGAGGCGTTTAGCAAGAAGAGAACTGGCTCGAGAAAACAGCCCCCCCTCGGCGGTACCTTGCTACCTGCCCCTTCCTTCAGGGACACGCCACCAACACCCGCTGCGAAACAGAAACGGCTTTTCCGACCGAGAACTAGGACCTGTGACTCCGGTCTGGAAACAAGAGTCACCACGGGTTTGTACAAAAGGATTTATTAAAAAACCAGTAAGACACCACTACGTCAAGACACTGTAACACCGGGCGTTTGAACACAAGACGGAGGAATTCAGCTACAATCCCGAGGGAGGGGCATAAAACGAATTGATTCCGAAGCGTAAGCAATTAAGAAATAAGACTGTGAAAGCAATTTCTGTCAGAACGAAAACTCAATTAAAACTTCAGGGGGACTCAACGGCTTACTTCCAATTCATGGACTCGGTACAAAAATGAGTCTGAACTCCTATTAGCAGGCGGCACGGGCCACCCCAGAGGGCTCTTCAGATGAGAAAATACTGTGTGTCTCCGCCTAGAAAGAAGAAGAGAGACCAAAGTCATTCCGCAGAAGTCGGCAGGCAGCAGAAAAGCTGTTTGTTTGTTCTACATTAACAGACAATTCCATCTTAGACACCCCTATTTCCCACTCTATGTAAATATGGTGTATCGACATTAATCGTGTCAATATATGCTTTTTAAATTAAAGCTGAACAGGAGAGTCCATGAGCTGGAAATCCACATGTGCACCCAGGTTTAAGGCAAGTTTCTCATTGAATGCTCTGAATTTACTCAGAAAAAAATAAAATCATCTCCCCTCAGGCGTTACAGAACATCTCTGATCCCCGTAACCGCCACCAAAACTATTTGGGTGGACGGACCTTTTGGGCCCAAAAGTTGCATT